GCAAAAAGCAAAACAATCCAGCAAGGCTAAGGATTAAAGAAAGTGAAGCGAATGATTTCTTATTCGAAATCATTGAAAATTTTCTACTATGCAGGCATTGAAGTTTTAATAGATTAAATATGTAAATTCCGCGTGAATGATTAAATGGAGATTACCAGAAGTGAGAGATCCAAATAGCAAGTCCAATGCCTGCAGAGTAGAGATTAGAAAATAGAAACTCTAACACATTAAATTTGATTAAGGAATTTGCCTATTCACGGGGCTTCAGCCAAGAAATAAAGAAATATACAAGAAAAAAATTGAAGGGGGAAAAATCAATTTATCCAAAATATTTAATTATTACTCAGCTAGCATGGGAACATAGCACGTCCTGGGTACATCACCCATCAATATTCCAAAACCTATAGCTGTGGCGCCTGGCACAAACCCAATCTGCAAATCTAAACACTGAGGATTCATAATCACATGTTGCGCCGACCACCACCAACCACTCCTATACGTTGCCCAGACCGCCATCTGAACACTAAATCTCACACACCCCAGTTCTCTATCTTTCGTCATCTTATTCAACATCCCTTGCTTAAGCGCTGGTTGATCCCCTTCCCAATTCGCCATTCTAAGCCTGAGATGCAGTTCTGTTTTTGTCTTCATGGGCAGACCGAATGGCTCCATTGTTTCGATGGCAAGCGGTCTGTCCTCATACAGAACGAAACCTTCAAGCCGGTTGAACCAAACAGAGGAGAGAAGATTAGGGTTAGCAATTTTCAAAATGACGTCCCATTCGGCTGTTAGGTTTCTGGCCGAGACGTTGAATTTGTGCACGGATAAGGCAGTAAGTTGGACAACGGGGGCTTGGGGGCCTAGAGTGAGCTCCTTGCGTATTAACGGTAGAAATACGATGATGGCAAGAGTGATCAAGGAGAGAAAAATGAGGAAGGTGAATTTGGCAATGGTTGGTGTAGTGGAGACATTGGTAGACCTTGTCGAAATATGGGATTTTGAATTAGGGCTGTGTGAAACGGGAAGTAAGGGAACCTTGGCTGAGCGCTCTCCTTTTGCATGCTTTGGTACTTGAATCTCCATCAAAGATGACGAAGCCATTTTTGACACAGCCTTTAATTTATTTAAAGCTGATCAACATGTACGATATTGAGGATGATGGGGATAGGGATGATTAATGAAAGCATGCATGCAAGAGAGAGACCTTCGGACGATCAGCCGGCGTAGGGTTTCACCGGCAAGCGAACCACTACGACGGCTGATGTATTCCTTACAAATGTCGCTAGCAAGTCGGAGGATGCGCCCAGCTTACGGTTGGGTCACGGATCTCCAATCCTGCCTAGCTTATGCATGCAAGCGTACGTGGAGTACATGGTCATGGGTTTGCCTAGACTTTGTGCACAAAACAGTCTGGACGAGTTGGATAAGGATCACACATTTGTCTGGTGGAGATTTTTTTCAGCTCCTTTCCGTGTCTTGTCTTTTTTTTTCTTTTTTTTTTCTGGATATAGGGTCTTGTGTGACTACTTTCTTGTCGTTGACCTTTAGGGTTTCCTTGTGGTAGCTAATTTTGTGTCATGTGGTTGATGTTTTCTTTACTTTAATTATTTAATTTTTTACGTCAAGCGATATTAAGAATATAAGCTACACTATGAGAAGATGAGATGGTCCTATCTATCAAGGCAATCCATCATTTGTTGGTTGGTGTTGGTATGGAGTTAAATTTGTATTGATCAAAGGAAGAAGAAATTTTGTCAGGGTAGTTTTATTGGCACTCCACATTTTGTTTAACACACCTCATTTAAAATTTTAATATTAAATAACTTATATGACAATATGAAATAAATATTTAAACCATAAATGTCTTTTAAATACACTGTTATTGTTTTAATGAATGAGAAATGCGAAAAGAATACACCTAGGAGATATCATCTTGAATGTATCTTGTTAACTTATTCATTACCAATATAAAAAGGTAAGGAGTTAAACCTAAGCTTTGGGGTAATCTTATGGTTATGGGAAAGCTTTTAGTTTTCATGAGATCTTACTGCAGTCCTTACTTCATCATACGTATCCTTTATTGGTTGAATATATGTTACTCGTACTCCCTTCTTCTCTAGAATCCTTCAAAGAATTTATCTTGGCCTTATTGTGGAGCCAGAATTAATCCTGAAAATTCTGGAGCTGCCATATGGACTTTTTCCTGAAGAAGACAAGAATGCTCTCATTAAATTAGCGAGGCCCACATTTAATCCACATGCAGTTCAACCTTTCTGAAGACATCAGCAGCTGACTATGACAACCTTAAGCTTCCTTGCTCATGGCAAGGAGAAAAAGTTAAAGGCATTAAATATAGGATTAATTACTAAATCCTATCTTTAATACATTCTAGATGAAGATCAACTCAAACAAATAAGAAATCTTCATAATATCCAATCAAGGATACTTCCAAGAATATCCCAAGATATTATCTCATAATTAATATTTTGGAATTATTTTTTCCTCATCCATCCTACAGATGACACAACTTGTCCAATGAGAAACTGCCACGTGTAGGGCAGAACCTTGCCTCTACAGCCTACCACCTGCTTATAAATACTTCACCGACACCTATTTTTGGTAAGCTTTTGCTACACTATTAAGCCCAAAACTTTCTCTTTTTTCGAAGAAAGTGACTTAGGCAGGGAGATCCACTGCAAAACCCTGTCGGCGTGTGAGGCTTTTAGCCTGGATCAAAGATGTTTATTTGTTTTGTAGGTACAATTTCGTCCAAATTGAAAATAGTGAAATTTTTCTACCTCAAATTGATGCTCTCATTGAAGGCTAAGTTAATACCTCGAAAAAGGCTTCCGCATTTACTTTTCAGATTTTTTGTTAAGTTGAATTTCATGTACGCTCCTGGTCATTAATTCTTCTTAAGAAAAGTTTTTTGATCAGTTTCTAGGGAAATGATACAATGATATGAAATTTTGAAACCACGATGAACGAAACACCCTATGTCTAAGGATATGGATTAGGAGATGAAGAAAAAGATGTGGCCCCACGGCAATGCTCCTGGAGACTTAACGCTGTGGCCGGAGATGCCAAGCCACCGCGGAGCACCACCACGACCACAGCCCAAGGCGCAGACCAGCATTGTAACTGAGGCCCAAGCCCAAACCAATGCAGCAGAAGTTGCAGGCCATGCAACCAAGTAGCACATCAGGCCCTTCTCGAGCGAGAACAGCTGACGATCAGGCGGGCCAAGCTGACTTGGCTTCTGCTTTAGACCAGTTGAGCCGAACTGACTACCAGTCTCCAGATCAGCTTTGTCTCAGACAGGATCGACCAGACCGATGACTGATGCCCATCCAGAACCGAATTTTGCACTTACTGCTCATTACACTTCCGCGCCACTCTTGGTGATGCCTACCAACCGAGCTTTTCTAACCCCAATGGTGATCAGCCCTTCTTCACAGATTGCAGATTTGACGAATGCCCTTGTGCGGTGCAACAGACCACCTTGGTAAATCAGCTCCTGAAGCACATCGAGTAGCAGCGCGCCCCAAACGAGGTGTCCCAAAGCAGGACAAAGGTGAATGGTGGTGATTCTTTCCAGCAACGTCTTGGGCGTAAAGTAAAAGTACCTGTGAATCCTCACTCCCGCTAGCAATACCCGCTTGCTCAAATCCACCGAAACAAGTTCTAATGATGAATCTTGTGCCCTTTGTACTTGGCAACGGCCTAAGGATCACTGTTTATGCTCCAAGGATGAATTCCTTGGTTTATGAGATTGAGTAGCAAGAACGTATTGTCATTTGAAAGCGAAAATGTTGTCAAGTAATATAATCGCAGTTTCACTGCATAAGTTTATTACCCCCTTCCCACCATCAAGTTATAACCATGTCCGATATCTTGAGTGTTTGCTGCCAGCGTCTCCAAATCCCGCAGGCAGATACTCTTGTCAGTCATGCCGAGAATATCCCTCTATCATCGGGAAATAATCAGCAAGAAAGAAGACCAACACCAATTTTTTCATTGCATGTATATATCACTGGAATAGACGAGTAGAGATGGGCCAAAGTAAAATATCAAAAGATGTGAGTGTTAATCATAAAATCATTCGATTTTAATCATAAAATCAAGAGATTTCTTCAGGACATAAACACATTCTGACCTGTGATGTCTGAGAAGGAATCTGATCTCTTCCACACTGATGTTAGAAATACAAAGACAGATCAATAATATCGAAAATCTACTGCGAAATGGAACGCAGGCATCTCGTTGCACGTCAACGGCCTGTTCAACTAGATGTTCTAACCTATTTTCAGATATGAAGAGTGCTGCAGGAAGCAACTTCTGCAGTTTCTCGAGTATCTTTGATCGTGTGTTTGCACCACCAATAGAATTGAAGGCACAAGTTGCACAGACTGCAAAGAAGAAATGATGCAGGATGAATGCTCATTTGCATGTCTCAAATTGATGCCAAGAGGGATAATTTTATCATAATCAAGTAACTTTGATGAATTGTTTCTTCATTTCTTTGGGAGGGTACAGGCATGGCCATCGGGTCTCCCAAAGAGGGTGCAACAAATCGTCGTGGTGGTGCTGTACAGAAACAATGCGTAAAGAGATAGGCAAATAGCAGGGAGACTGAAACTAGCATCGAAAACCCACATAGACAGACATGAGCATTTTGCTATCTGAGTTGAGTGTTTGATTACCAAATTCTGAACATATAACAAGACGACTTGGGTGCGTTCTTGTTTTAGTTCAGCGTTTCAGTCACATGGCTCAATGGAATGTGTAAATATGGCATGAAAACATATTGCAAATCCTAAACCCTCGATGAGTGTTCTTACTTGAATGAAACTAAATTCAACAAAAAATTGATTGCGGCACATCAGCCCTCTCAATTGAACAAATATCCATATATATTAGACTAAGAAAATCCAGACCCTCACAAAATCTATGGTCATTAGCATTGCAACTAAATTTTGCACTATTTTTAGCTGTTCACGCTACTAAATTATTATCGTATTGGTAGCCATCTGTATTGAAGTTCATAAGTTACTGAAATACGCCAGAAGAGCCGTTAGCCATTTCCCTGACCATTGTTTTAACAAACAGCTCCCCTGCCCTATACGAGGACCGGACCTGAAAAATTAATAGATGCAAAGATTTTTCATCAAGAATGGTAAAACTAGGTTACTGCATTCAATCAACAATAGTAACGAAAGATAATCCTTAGTATCTATAAAACTGAGACGTTAATGAAGATCTTACCAAGGGCCCACTGGCTACATAACGAAATCCAATAGACTCCCCATATTCCTTCCAGAAAATGAATTTCTCAGGCGAGACATATTCTTTGACAGTCAAATGTAATGGAGTTGGCTGCAGCAATTTAAAATCAAAATCTTTACCACAAAATTCTACGGGAATAACTTAGTCTCAGTTGATGATTGCCTCAGAAACAGTAAAGTGGATCGCTTATGGAAAATATTAACCACAATGGGTAAATAGTGCCAGATTACAGCCATTCTTCAAGCATACAACAAGAAGAGACTGTCAACAATCCAAGTCTAACTTTGGAAACTCAAAGAAAACGACATCAGCCTAACAATCTGTAATTGCCAATGTATTTTCATGAAGTACTCAAAGCTAAATACACGAAAGCTATGCACATTCAACTAACCTGTAAATATTGTCCAAGGGTCAAAATATCAACATCTATAGCCCTTAAATCAGCCATGGCTTCCTTCAACTCATCGTCTGTTTCTCCCAGGCCCAGCATTATCGAAGTTTTTGTTATCATCCCCTTTTTGCTTTGTTTTGCATGTCTTAGAACAGATAAGCTTTGCTCATACCTACATTACGCATTAAATAAACAATTTAAAGTAGCAGCAGTGATCACAATGTTAGAATGAGAAGTACCAATCCAGAAAGCATACGATGAACTGGGTTGATGCTCTTAGAATGGGTTGGATTGGATGACTTCAGAAAGAGAACAACCAAGTTTTTGCTGGATTGGATAACTTAAGAAGGATGATTTAATGGGATTGGATAACTTTTGGATGGTTGGATTTGATTGTGGATAACTCACTCGATTCAAGGTATGTTAGAAGGAAGAAATGTAGGCCAAAAAATATATTACACATCAAGGCATCAGAACAAGTAAGGAATTAGGTAATGTATGGCAAGCTTAACAAGCATGCCCAAAAAGTTAAATATACGACCAGAAATGCCGAAGCGAAAATATATAACCAAAAGGCTTTGGGGGAAAAGAAATAAAAGTAAAAAATAAAGATAATGCGGAGTACGACTTACCCAGCCCGAGGGTCCCTGACAATTCGTTGTAGTCGTTTGACGGTCTCAATGTTGTGTGCAAAAACATCAAGTCCGGAGTACAGCAGAGTGTGTACAGCCGTCAAGTCACCACGAAAATCAGAAGTTAAACACTCAACCATGATATCAGGCTTCAGATTCTGCAGTTGAAGATGAGTTGGTAAAACTTTACACCAAACTAATGGATGTATAACAATCAAGGCAGGGGCAGTCTTATTAGGTTGTCTATTTTGCAATGCTTTTGAAGTTAACAGTCAGATCAGATTGTGCACATAAAAAATACATACATCATAGGCAGGCATGATTAAAACCTTGTTGAAAAATAAAAATGAAAAAGTTAGGGAAGGGACCTTGAGGGCTTGGACAGTGCGAGCAAAATGATCACTTCCACCATCGGGCAGGTCATCACGATCGACACTCGTTAAAACAATATAATCAACACCCCAGCTGGCAACGGCCGTAGCAGTATTGATAGGCTCCATGGGATTAGGAGGTGGAGGGTTCCGGCTGGTCTTGACGGCACAAAACCGACAGCCGCGGGTGCAGGTGTCGCCCAGAAGCATGATGGTGGCAGTGGAAATGCCATCCCCGCCACCATTCCAACACTCGCCGATGTTAGGGCATTGGGCCTCCTCACACACCGTCTTCAGATTCAAACGGGACAAGGACTCCTTGACCTCCTCATACTTGTTTCCCTGGGGGGCTTTCTGCCTTAACCATTCCGCCTTCTTCACATTTGGGTCTCTCCCCGTGTAAGGTCCCATTCCGATTTCTGTTCCAGTTCCCACCGCCACCACCTCACATCGTATTCCTACTCGTCCTGATGACCGCACATTCAAGGATCGTGTTGATGCACATATTCGGCCTTTTGGGACCTCAATTGGGATTGGCCAAGACCAAGATGATGAGGAAACTTGGGATTGCAGCTGAATTATCGTGCACATCTTCAATTCTTCAATTTCTTATCTAGATTATCAAGATTTCAACCCACCAATCCAATCAAGGAGTTTACGTCTTTGGACTCACTATTTTTCAACAGAAACTACAAGGTGAAGGTGAAGGTGAAGGAGGAAGGGCTTGTTATTGTTCTAAAAAAAAAACAATTTAAATTTAGAACATTGTTATATACAATCTGCATTGAAGCTCCCTAGCTTTTGTGAGCCATATTAAGCTAGCCTCACAAGAGAACCTAACTGTTGATGCGTAAATTCATTAACAACATTTCACATTACTCCAAGAATTACCAATTTTCATATGACAACAAAATCAACATCTAGACACTTGTATAAGGTTATTTAAGCCAGTATCACAACCACTAGATATACATTTGGTAGAAATTAATATATAAGAACCTATGATGGTCTTCGGCTAAGAACCACCTTACATATATAATCAGAATTTTGGATTAGCCTCATAATATTGTTTGCACAAGAAAATGTTTACAACTTCTAACCTACTGATCACTTTGTCCAAAAGCACAACTTCTAACCTAACTACTATACTCAGCTTCTTGAGAGTGCAGATAAAACTAAGCCAAGAAGCAAAAGAGTGGGGATGAGGGAGAAGAATTCACCTTTAGGCCCCGTTTGGTATAGAGGACTGACTTGGATAACCCGCTAACTTAAAGGCATATTTAAGGTACAGAAAATGATTTCACTTTTTAAGGAGATTAGAATGGGATTAGACATGACGAAAACTTCTCCCCTCTAATCCTATCCTACCATTTTTGGGAAGATTGAAATTGATAAATTTTCTTCTTGAGTAATTCATCTCCTACCACTACGTTGGTCACCAGTACCTTAAAATAGTGTCTTCTCCATTCCAATGCAGCCCTTCATACCAAACGATACCTTAATTACCAATTTTCATATGACAGCCAAATCAACCAGAGAATCATATACATGTATATATAACTATAGGGGATCTTTAGTTCCGGTCCTGATTAACTAAAATCTTAAATCGAAACTTTATTAATTTGAATACTTTGATTGAAAGACAAAATGTTAAATTCTGTATTAATTAAGAAATTTAATAAAAAAAATTATTAAATCCTTACTAAAATGATGCAAAGATTAATATGAAATAGGGATTTTTATTTTATTTTATTTTTCCTCATATTTGAATTTTGTGAAATCTTATCTGATTTTAATAGTTCTTAAAAAAATGATTTATTTTTATTTTTAATTATTGGCACGTTTTAATTAAAAAATGATGCATTATAAAATATGGTTACATTAGAAATAAATAAAAAAGTGAATAAATTTTACATTAAGAAAATGGGTAAAATTTGGTACATTTTGCATATATATAACGAAGTGGTACATTTTCCTATAAAACCCTGGTACATTATAAATACGTTATGGTTACAGATAAAAAATTAAAAACATTACATGTATAAATAAAAGTTTTAAAATATGGGCACAGAAAAAAAATTAAATATATGGGTACAATCAAACTAAAATGAAAATTGGTACATATTAGAAGAATAGTTGCAAATTAAAAAGTGGGTACGATATAAAAATAGAAATATATGATACAAACTTTAACCATAAATATTTATGTCAAAGATAACGTTTTTAACTCTAAATGAATCTATTTATAATTCTATTATAAATTTAAATATGCTGACAAATAAATACTTCATTATCAAAATACTGACCTTATCAAAAATTGAAAAAAAAAATTAATGAAGAATGAGAACCTAATTTAATATATATATATATATATATATATATATATATTCTAGTTTATACATGGTATCTCCGAATTTCCATTTCGCCAAATTGGCTCTCTTTGGCGTTTCATGGGAAAACAAGAGAAATTCATGTAGAGCAAATTGACTCAACGAACTTGAATTACAGAATATTTATAATGCATGCGAAGAAGAATACCTAAGAGAGATAGTTGGCGGCCATTTCGAGAGGGGGAGCGATGGTTGCGCCGCTGCAAAGTTCGTGGCGGCAGAGAGGAGGCGGCGTTGATCTCTGAGAGGGAAGGGAAAGACTTAAAAGCAAGCGCTCCAGTCGAAGGTTTTTGTAAACTTGTTCTCCTTGAAACTTCCGCCATTGTCGATTGTTTTTTTATTTGTTTATTTTTTTGGATTGGTTTGTTGGGTTGGTACACTTACTTTTGGTACTGTTATTTTCTTCTTAACAAAAAAAACTGTTATTGGCATTTGACAAAAAATAGTCATCGTCCCACAAAATAAAAAAATAAATAAAAATTGGTTGGGCCAAAGTCATAATCCCTAAAATAAAGTTACATATGGAAATTTTGTTATGAAATTTGAGATATGTGTGCAATAAAATAATATAAATAAGACATAATATTTAAGAAGTTCGTCAAGTATATCTAAATTATTTGAAAATAATAGAGTACAAAATAACCTATGATTATTTTCTTTCTTCTCTCCAACTTGACTTACTGGTATTTTCTGCTACTTCTCTCTTCTTTATTTCCTTTCCTTCTATCTCTTCTTTCTTTTCTACTTCCTTTCCCCTTTTCTTTTATTTCCAATGTATGTTTCTCACATCACTTCCTTCATTTTATTCTTCAATCTTTTATAGGCAAAAGTCAGGATCTAACAAACACATCATATGAGTTATTTTAATATATTAATGAGAATCAAAGTCATCAAGTGAATAATAAAATTTAATCATCTTTTGAAGTCTCCATTCATACCGCTTTTTCAGCGGAAATTCACATTGCTTTTATAATACTCCCTCTTGGATGCCCACAAGTCTTTGGTTAACAGTCTATTAAAAACTTCTCATAAGATGAATAGATGGTCTGAAGAAAAAAAAAATTGTGCTCATGTGGCAAATGTTGCTAGAGCCGGTCCGGATATTTTTTTAGGCCCATGGCGACCCCAAAAAATGTACCATAATTTCATATAAGAAAAATTATTTGTTTTCATATGTAAGAATTTGATAAACGTGTGTATTTACTATTGGTGATACATCATATGGTTTGCAAATTTGATCTACAAATGGTCTACACATTACTGTTTGTTAAATGTTAGACTTGAATTAGAATGAAAGTTTAAAAACTTCAACCCAAATAGCTACAAGCTAGTAATTAAAAAGAAATTAACAACCAAACATAAATTAGAAAAAATATGAAAGAATAGTAAAGCACATAGCATTTCGGACTTAAGGCTCAAGACCTTTCGTTAATTTTAAATAATTGTTTTTGATAAAACTTTTTGATCATTTAACCAAATTTTATAAATTTACCTTCTTACGAAAAGAAATTCATAAAAACTAGAAAGTAAAAAGTCACATAGCGTTTCGAACCCGGGACCTCCTCATTAATTTTAAACAACATAAACAACCACTTCTCGTTAAACTTCTTGATCATTTCATCAAATGTTAGAAATTAATACTCTTATGAAAAAAAAATTCGAAAAAACATAAACCATCAGTTCTAATTAAACTTCTTGATCACTTAACTACGTTTGAAAACATATATGAATATACCACCTTAATAATTTTGGTGCCCCAACTTTTTTTGGGCTCCAAATGGTCGCACAGCCCACACTGGGTCTAGCCCAGCCCTAAATGTCGCATACTCTTAGATGCTCCCCTTGATTATAACAAACTAGGATTAACTAAGTTGTCATCAAGCAAGTGTGTGTCGATGCAATCCTTGGGCTTTTGAAGTGAAAACTTTGGAGATATGTATTTTTTTTAATTGATTTGAAGATGTAGTGATAAATGTTTGCTTCATTGATCGTTGTAGGATCAATCTATTTTCATATGTAAATACAAATCATTTTTTGTAAGTGATCTATAGCAGGCCAGAGAGAGATTCAAATTTTGCTTGCCTAATAAGACATGACTTTTGTGATTTCATTAGAATATAACAAGCATATGTGTGTAATTTCTCAGAGATAACAGTAAATAAACTTGATTTCATTCCAATGCCCATATGTTGGTATTGTTCTTCACAAAAAATGTACTATATGTTTTAGTGTATTGTGCTAAATACAGTAAGGCACACACTTCGCTAAGATATGGTACTTCTGGACCAAGTATTTGTTCATCATTCTCTCATAAGGATGAATGATCTTTCTTAGTGTCTAAATATCAATTAATCATTTGAGTGTTCAACTCATGATCTTCAACCCATATGATTCTTTAATACCACAAATCTTTTGATAGATAATAATCGTGTTGGCATATTGTTCGATTTGTAGCTTGAGGTAATATGCCCTTCAACAATTTATAATCTTTCTAGACTCTTCAGGCGTTCCATTCTAATATCATCAACTCTTGCAAGAGATTTAATATGTTGCAACAATATCATAATGATAGTACTCACTAAGGCAATTTATACCATCTATTGGTATTGCATACATAAATTTTGCTTTACCCTTCTAGGGTTTGCTTCAATCAATTTGAATGCTTCAGGGATTTTATACATTTCATGACACATTCTCCTTTAGAATTTATACAGAGCAATTTGCTTTTATGTATACTTAAGGGAATTACTTATAAAGATATGTTTCAGGCATTTGATAAACCTTCGTATAATATATAATTCTCCATTTAAATAAACAAGTTTCAACAATGGAAAATCATGTTTACAGGGGTGTTTTACAATTTCAGGTTTCAACTAAGAACCTTGTGTCATATCATGTGAGTGTATTTCACTGTGTTACAGATGCTCATATATAACCTTCTGGGTTTAACATCATTTGGCGATTTGTAGTATAGATCAATTTTTTCACGTTCTTACTATACTATAATGGAATTGCCTCTTTCCACTTTGCCTAATAATTTTTTCTTTTTGTCTACGAACAAAAGAACATGCCTCAATATCAACACAGCTCATTGATAAATCTAGTAGTTACTGTAAAATCAAAACTAACATTTGTTATCATCAGATCCCAAAATTCTCATGTGCATGCATAGTTTATAAGCATTTCATTACTTTGGATATCCTTACCTCTTCAGGTATAATCATCTCTTATTAGATGAATTGTTTGAAGAAATTGAACCATAACTTCTTCTAAAGCATAAAAGAGCTTGGATTTTTAATCTCCTCTTTCGGGGAGTTGAATCATTGGAACCTATAGGTCTATCATGCTTTAAGCATGAGATATATTAAAATTGCCATGTCCATGGACTGTCATTTTGGGACTTTAATCCATGTGGCGACTATCATGCTTTGGGCATGCAACATTTTAGTTGTGCCAAGTCCATGGGTTGTCTTGTGGAGACTTCAACCCATGCGATATCTTTGTAACTTGTATTAATTAGTAATATTCAAAATTTGGATTATTTTTTGTACATCATTTGAATGATACAAACTGATGAGACAAAATAATAGTTGAAGTCATTCTTGTCCTTTAGTTGTTGTAAACTTAGGTACAGTTTGTTGAGGCTGTGAGTATGATTCCCATCATTGAACTTTGGTCTTCCATTCACTTAGTTAGACGCTCATTTTCTCCCTTTGAACTTCCATATGTTCATCTTTGATTCTTCTGCTTCAACCTTCTGCACAACAGAAATACGTAACCATTGCCTTTGAATGGTCCTTCAAAGCTACATTTTTTGGTGGCTCATCCATTTTGGCAACTTGAATGTGAAGAGCCAACATCGTATCAAATGTTCTCAAGTGTTGGTGATTTGAAACCTGACTTCAACAACAGTTGAAGATGACTACTTAAGAACAATGCAAGGTAAGCAATCAGGCAAGGTTCCAGGCAATCAGTTCTAGACGAAAGTTTGATTTCAAGTCCCAACTTATTGCTCTCTTTCTCCTTGTCTTGGAGGCAAGAGCAA